CTGCAGCAAATAGTTTGGTCGTGCAGCAAATAGTTTGGTCGTGCAGCAAATAGTTTGGTCGTGCAGCAAATAGTTTGGTCGTGCAGCAAATAGTGTGACAACCCTGCAGCAAATAGTTTGATCGGGGTCGTTGGGTAGTGCCGACGATCGTCGTTGTGTGCCTTGTATTTCAGTGTCGCAGGCAGTTTTAAAAGCAGGGTTGAGCTTCTGCAGTTATGGGATGATTCATTATGGAATTACCTGCACTGGCTATGATTTAGTATGGAATCTGCTTGCACTGGGTATGGCCTAGGTTGCCACAAAGGAGTATTCCCAATTCTTCAAAAAAAAATTGGAATTTTTTTTTGGATACGACAGCATATAAGAGATCACCAAGGCACCCGCGAGTTATGCCGATATATTTCAGTTTGAAAACACACAATTACCCAATTACCCAATTGTTTGATCGTCCAACAGAAGGTTGTTCATATCAGCAACTAGAGACTTACGTCGCATGCGCGGTGTTGTTTTCTGGTTGCTATGGTTACACCCATCCGCCAAATGAGTTCCATCTGGCCGCTTTTCAGTCACACCACTTAAGTTGTAACTTCGTTTGTGTGCATGTGACCACTCACTGAAAATCCGAGCACCTATACTGCTGCATGCGATGATGTATGCGTACGGGTGGTTCGATACAAATGAACCAAGAATGCCTAAATATACATGGGCACAACACCGTGTGCTCTCTTGCTTTCTGGTCTCACGTGTATAGACATTAACTGCTCTATGTAGATACACCAACTGCTCTATGTAAACACACTCAAACCCTCAAACTACAGTTGATGAGGTGGTTCGATACAAATGAACCAAGAATGCCTACATATACATGGGCTCCACACCGTGTGCTCTCTTGCTTTCTGGTCTCATGTGTATAGACACTAACTGCTCTATGTAGATACATCAACTGCTCTATGTAGATACACCAACTGCTCTATGTAAACACACTCAAACCCTCAAACTACAGTTGATGAGGTGGTTCGATACAAATGAACCAAGAATGCCTACATATACATGGGCTCCACACCGTGTGCTCTCTTGCTTTCTGGTATCATGTGTATAGACACTAACTGCTCTATGTAGATACACCAACTGCTCTATGTAAACACACTCTAACCCTCAAACTACAGTTGATGAAAGAGCGACACTAACTGCTCTATGTAGATACACCAACTGCTCTATGTAAACACACTCAAACCCTCAAACTACAGTTAATGAAAGAGCGCGTGCTGGAGCTAAATGCGTCTGATGAGAGAGGGATTGATGTGGTGCGGCACAAGATTAAAAGCTTTGCACAAATAGCCGTAGGTGGGACAAAGGCCAAGGGATACCCCTCGCCACCATTCAAGATAATCATTCTGGACGAGGCCGACTCCATGACAACGGACGCCCAATCAGCACTCAGTAAGCGGGGGGGGGGGGGTTTAAAACACTTTGTTATTTTCTGCACTTGGGAAGTGTTTTTTTCAGTACTCAGTAGCACTTTGTAAAGGAACTCGACACTTGGTTTGTATGGGGGCGACAAAGAGCTACTGGCGATTATACGTTATGCGTTTCTCCAGCATGCTGTATTGATGTATGGAGGCGACATTGAGCGACTACCGCCGTATGCCTCATGTCTGACCGACCGTGACAACGATGCCTTGAATGGTTGGCCCACAGATAGATTGAGAGTGTACTCAATCGCTCAGTGTACCTATTCAAGCATACACTTGAAACTCTCCACCAACACCTGCAACTAAAATCTATGGCATTTAAAATCTATGGCATTCTACTCCTGCACAAATGGTCGACCCCCCCCACCAACACCTGCAATTAAAATCTTTTGGCATTTCGAATCGGCATATTAAATCTATGGCATTCTACTCCTGCAGGGCGCACAATGGAGCTGCATTCCAAGGTGACGCGGTTCTGTCTCATCTGCAACTACGTCACGCGCATAATCGAGCCGCTAACCTCACGTTGCGCCAAGTTCCGATTCAGGCCGTTGCCCCCTTCAGCCATGCAGACACAGGTTAGGCCACAGTTTAGTTTAGTTTAGTTTAGTTTAGTTTAGTTTAATTTAGTTTAGTTTAATTTAGTTTGCTTATGGAGACGCCATGCACACACGTGGATGTACAGGCGTATTCTGTACTGTTCATGAGTGCGTAGAGGTGGCGTGCTACTGTTAGACTGTCCATTATAAGAGCTATACTGGACCTTCATTGGTGACCCGGTAATAGCTACCATGTGGGGTGCAGTGAGTCTGTCGATCACGACAGGCGCGTGTTTACCCTTGCGTATGGCTTCCCCTGTTTTCTAACGTTATTTGCTTCGTAATTGCCGTATACGGGAACGTCTATCTGGACTGCCTTATCAAACAAAACATAACCCCCGCCGGACCAAGAGCGTGTACGGCGACGTGAATGCCTTGCGTCCAGTCACTCATCCAAACGCTTTGAATCCGTTTCAATTTCCGTTCGCCTGTGAGGCAGATTAAGTTAGTAACGGAAAAAGAAGACATAAAGATCGCAGACGGTGTGCCTGAGGCACTGGTGACAGCCAGCGGAGGTGACATGCGCCGAGTGTTAAATCTGCTGCAGAGTGGGCACCGGTGGAAGGGCGCTGAGGGGATAGAAGCCGACGACATCGTCAGTATCAGTGGGGTAAGTAAGCGCGTGCACATGTGTGTGGTGTAAGTAAGCGGGTGCATATGTGTGTGATAGGCACATGTGTGTGGTAGTGCAGGTGGCGTGGTTAATTGTGTGTGAGACCTCATAAATGGATAATGGGTTGGGTGAGCGTGTATGGTACGTGTGGGGTGGGGTGTGTTGTTAAAACCTCTCTCCTGACGGTGTTCTGTGGCCTATACAGACGTCTGTCCATAGGTGTACCGTGGCATGGGTGCCCTCTGTATGGACCAGTCATTCTAACTCAGCGTGATGCCCTGCGGACAATTACATTAAAGTTCAGATCCCCGGGAGTGAACATGAACAAATACATCTCTGTCCTCAGATGGGAATACCGGTCGCCTATCTCCCTTTGCTTCACCTATCTTCCTTTGTTTAACCTACCTCCCTTTGTTTCACCTATCTCCCTTTGTTTCACCTATCTTCCTTTGTTACACCTATCTCCCTTTGTTTCGCCTATCTCCCTTTGTTTCGCCTATCTCCCTTTGTTTCACCTATCTCCCTTTGTTTCCCATCTGTCTCCCTTTGTTCCAGCCCATTGCGTGTATTTCGCTTCTCATTCCGACACACTTGCTCTCCTCTCCACAGCTGGTGCCCTTAGCCGTGGTTGATGACATCCTCAGAGTGTGCCAAACAAACAACTACAGCGCAGTCGAGAAGATGTGCACAGGCATCATCCTGGACGGATACTCCATCGCCTCACTATTCGATCAGGTGGGTTTTAGGGTTTAGTTTGTTTGCGTGCACCACTCATGCATGCAGCTCTGTTGGGTTGCATACACCAACCGGATGACATTGAAACCCTGAGGCACATGAGCACAAAGGACCTCTGTGCAGTATAACACCTTCCACTTACTATAAATGGATATCAACCAGTACAACACATTCTACTTACTATAAATGGATATCAACCAGTACAACACATTCTACTTACTATAAATGGATATCAACCAGTACAACACATTCCACTTACTATCAATGGATATCAACAAGTACAACACATTCTACTTACTATAAATGGATATCAACCAGTACAACACATTATACTTACTATAAATGGATATCAACCAGTACAACACATTCTACTTACTACAAATGGATATCAATCAGTACAACACATTCTACTTACTATAAATGGATATCAATCAGTACTACACATTCTACTTACTATAAATGGACATCAACCAGTACAACACGTACGGCTTACTATAAATGGATATCAACCAGTACAACACATTCTACTTACTATAAATGGATATCAATCAGTCCAACACATTATACTTACTATAAATGGATATCAACCAATACAACACCAATACAACACATTCCACTTACTATAAATGGATATCAACCAGTAAACACATTCTACTTACTATAAATGGATATCAACCAGTACAACACATTATACTTACTATAAATGGATATCAATCAGTACAACACATTCTACTCACTATAAATGGATATCAATCAGTACAACACTTTCCACTTACTATAAATGGATATAAATCAGTACAACACCTTCCACGTACTATAAATGAATATTAGTCTGATTATATATTTTCATTTTGTTCTCTGTGCTCAGCTCTCCGGCCTCATTTGCGCGGACAACGCCATGACCAGCAGGCAGAGGTGCAAAATGGCCCTAAAGCTATCAGATGTAGGTGCATTGCTTTCTCTTACCAAGTGGCTTGATTCGGTGTTCGCCGTTGGTTGTGTATATGATATCCACACACACTCTTTCTCTC